ATGGCACAATTTAGAATATAATATATTCAGAAGATGATCAACCAATATTGACATTAGTTTTGGAAAATGTAGGAAATGGTAAGAAAATTATTTTTACTGTTTGCAATAATTAACTGAAGTTTTACTTCTTTTCTGTGGCCTTAGATGCTCTCAAACCATGTGCACGACTGATCTTAATCATTACACGATCATTTTGTAATTAATTTCATCATAGAACATCAATACCACAACCAAAAAAAAAAATTATATGTATATATATCACTGAAATGTTATTTTATTTCATAAACCGACATACTACATTTCGGTTATAACAAGGAAGGTGTTACATCCACTTACGAGTCTGAATGACATTCATCTTACATTCACATTTTAAGAAAATTCATGTTTGTATGAGCATACTCTCATACAAATTCTTCTGAAGAGAAATTCCATTTTATTCTGTTAGTAAGATAAAGAAAATCGGAAGAAAATTTTGTGGCAAAATATAGAATATTAATGTGCAATTTTGATACACATTATCTGAAAATGCACAGCAAACAACATTTACTGGAAGATATATTTAATTGAGTACCTTCTTGAAAACAAATTGTTTAAATCAATGGAGTAGTACAAACACTGATAGCAATGGCGTAAAAAATTAATATTCTGGATTCAAAGCTTTTAAAAATCTCATCAGTAAATGCCACTTGCTTTTAATTTTATAGAAAAAGACTGCTTTCCTCTCATAAGCAGTTGTAGTTGTGCTTAGAACAGAGATCAAGAATTGGTAAGATAAGCCCTAAGCATTCTATACTTAGGTATCAATGGGCAAACTCTATCCCCCAAAGCCCCATGCATGCAAGAATAGAACATAATGGTGTGAAAGAGAGTTGGATTATACCATCAATGAGAATCAAGCCTATAAATAAAAAAGGAATATCCCAAAAGGGAGATAGGATATTTTCTACCGCAACGCAACTAAGTCTGTGATCCTTTTATTATTATTATTACAGAAGGGTACAACATTTTTAAGGATTTAATTAAACATAATCCATTTTTCTTTATTAGAAAAGGAATGAGGAAGCTAAATTTTAAGAAAAAATAGCAAATTTTGGCTGTATGAAATTTTTGCTATTATTGAATATTTTTAAATTTGTGACATTCTTTGTCAAACCTAAATTTTCAGCTTAAGCAGTCTTAATCTTTCACTTGCAAAGCAAAAATTTTGACCTTGTAACCAGAGAAGCTATTAAATATATTTCATGACAGCATTGCTCAGAACACATAGAAAAGGTACCCTTGTTTTAAGTGCAACAGTTTTGTTTCTCTTTTCATTGCAACTTTTAGCTTCCTCTGCAACAAAATTTATTTTGTTCAACAATGTTCACAAGTACATTTTTTGATTCTAGAAATTGAAGCCACAGGTCACAACATGATCATATTAATAGAAAATTACAATCAGACATGATTATGGCATATCGTAGCAGAATTTTTGATATTTAAAAATCGAAAAAAATATTTCTTTTTGTATACACAAAACACGAAATTCGTAAAGTTAGAATTCTTTTGAATGTTTTATGTCTATATAAAAGCAGTTCACACAAATAATCATCCGTTTTATATCCGTTCTTTGGGATACAGATATTTCTTGAAGTGGGTCGCACATGTACACTGTTCTGTGGCCGCGTTGAGGGCTGTGGGGAGGGGAGCGAGCAGATAACGAGTGTAATGTAGAAAGTAGTATAGTCCACAGGTCACATATGACAAGCCCATACGTCTCCTCTTTCCCATGTCCGAACCCAGCTCTAAACACAAAACTCCCCGCCTCGCCTGACATTATGAAGCTCGCGTTCCTTGAACCCACCCCACCCCTTTACACTCCTCTCATACTGGAGTTAGAGGACAAAACCAAGCTTCTACCCACGTCCGCGAGTCTGAACCATTGGGGTTCTTTGAAAATGAGATCCCCCTCAGGGCAGAATAAAGACGAATTAGGTAGGAGATTGGCGACGTCCAATTGTTAATATTCTTCATTGTATGAGGAGGAGTTATCTGGGGAATAAATAAATTTGTTCATATGTACGCCAAGAAGCAATTAAAATTGTACGAAAGCAACTGACTTTGATTATTGAGCATAAAATACAAATGTCATCGTTAACGGGTAACAGACGTGTGCTCCTATCGTCACCCACATAACAGAATAAAGCACAAAAATCTACTTTTTACCATTAATTTGACAGGCATTAATATTTAAGATACGGAATAGGGAGAAATAAAAGTACTAATGTATTTGATCGATGTCTTATTATCACAGATGCCGTAATACAGTTCCCGTGAGGAAAGAAGACGAAATATTTTTCGCGAGCGAGCTGAACGCCGGGCGAGGGGAATGACTACGAGATTCAGGAGGGACGGGAGAGGATTGTTCAGGGCAAGGACTCTATTTTCTATCCTCTACTACTACTCACAACATTAATCGGTTCATGAGCTCGGCATGGGAAAGCAGTTAAGACGCTCCAACCGTTTAGTAATGCGCCAATTTTCATCAGTAAGACCATCTCGAGTTTTTCGCCCTGCGTTGTTGGGAGGGTTTTTGCTGTTGATTCGAGAAGGAGTTAGCAAGAAAGTTCTCTTGCAGTTAGATTTGTGGTTAGCATTGTTAATTAGAAACAAACGCCTTTGGGCAATGCTCACAAGACAATTTTCTGTGCGCAGTCGTGACTTACAACTTCTACAAGCCGGTCTTTACTACAATTTCACATTGATTATTATGCATAGTTTTTTCTCTTCCCCAAGAGATAATGATAAATTATCTTTTCGACCATTGGTCTTAGACAAAATATTTATAATTCTAAATTCGGATATAGATTGCCAACATTTAGACAGTTTCAGTTAGAACTGAAAAACCCAAACAAATATTTTGTCGCGGTAATATTTTAAGATCCAAGATCAAGTAAATTTGATAGAACCAGCTCTCGCGAAGACAGAGTAAGTGACGATTGCACCGAAATTTAGCGTGCGTGGCCAAGGTTCGCAGTGCTGCCAGCTCGCGCGCGCGTGATGTGGAAGAGGCCAATTTCCGACCAAGCCCATGGTGACAACAAACAAGGCGCTGCTGCTTGATAGCGTCGAGGTGTAATGACGGCAAAAGACTCTCCAAAAGAGAGAGAAGTGAGCAGAGGACGAATGTCCTAACTTTTTTATGCTAAAAGAACGTGGCTCGGTTTCTTTATTATAAAATTTGTAAACATTAGATAAATAAGACTTTTATCTGGTATTCTTATTTTACGTTCGCACTTTCATATTGACTTTGCAACGGGGCAAGACAAGGGCATTGTGAGCAGCTCAAAATTAATCACTCTGATCAATTCCTATCACTTCAGCCTAATGGTGATTTACGTTAAAATTATATATTTTATAAATTCAATACAATATTTGTTCGTGTCTGGCAACTTTTAAACACTTATTAATGAAATATCTCGGTCTACGGCAATATATAAAAAATATATATCACAAGCTCTGTGCGAAATTCTTGTGCGTCGCGTTTGCTAGGGGAAAAAGTCCGTTTTCCTGTGCCTTATCATTTACCTATCCTGATTATTTCCTCGAGCAAACCGCCCTCCGCCATCCGAGCTGCTCTTGTTTAGTTTGCGTCACCATGCAATGGCGGAACTGTGGCGAGATAGTGAAAGAAGAGAGCAACAAAAGTGTTGGGCCATTCATTGCACAGTATTACGAAGTAAACATTTTGGCGCAATTGATATAGCGGCATTCCTTTGTTCTTGTGGCCGAACGAGATGTGTAATATAGCAAAGCGGTGCGACCGTAGCGCGATAAAGTGATTTACCTCAGTTTTTCATGGTTGACACAAAGTACTTTTCAAAAATACATACATAGCAGAGCGTCAGTACTGTATGCAATAAGAATACAAGTGTCTGATTTATTTCCATTTTGAAAATAGTTTCTAATATCAGAAATTAAATTCAGTAGCAGTGCAGAAATATGGATACAAATGCAAAAAGGGAATAAAAATGGCTTAAAGATGCAATAGAAGAAATTCTAGAGAAATAAATATATATGGAAACAGGCCAACGTGCGAAGTTACAAGACAATACAAAAATGAAATGCTTTCTTTTACTGTGTATGCACTGTGTATTGTGTTAAGTTGAAAAAAAAGAGAATTCACACTCAAGTAATTTGGATGAAGGAAAGTGATTTGATGGTTTTGGGGTGAAAATGAGAAAGACTCGAAAAAGAGATGCAAAAAGTGCAACATTCCCATACTTAGGATAAAAAAAGATGTATTTTCAAGAAAAATAATATACCATACCATATTTCTACAATGGAGCAAAATTGATATTAATATTAAAATTAATCAGAGGATATCAATTTATTTTTAAATTCCACTAAAATATCTGGATTTTCATAACACAAAACATATTATATTGAATATATCACTGAAAATATTTGCATATATATTGTAGTTACAACAATATCTAAACATTAATAGACACCATAGTGGAAGAAATAAATTGATATAGTCTCCAGAATAAAGTGATCATAGAAGGACAACCATTTCTATTTAAATGATATATTTTAATATTAATATTTGGAAACGTACAGAAATGGTCCACATATCAATATCTCCAGATATGCTGACTTAGGAATATTGATATATGGGTCCTACTGCTAACACTAGCTAAATAAGCATGCAAGCTAAGGTTTTCACAGAGCACCTTAATATTCCTTTCTGATATGGCCTATTTCATATATATGTATAACATACGTAGCATTTCACCATATAGACGATATATAACTATATGACGCCTGGGCTAGCAATGTATATAGTATTATTATGCTCAAAACTCATCGGGTGATAAAGATATTTTTTATGTACACAACACTTAGGTGTCAAAAAATACTCAAACTACGAGAAAATATAACCAAATGACGCACTTCAAATCCTTTTGTGGTCGAAATAAAGTTCAATTGAAGATGCTATGTAATATTTGGGACATTGTTGTTTTTTTCGTCTCAAAAAGATTTGTGAAGTGTCACATGGTTCTGGGGACGAATTTTTCTATTATTTTGTATATACAGCCAGTTTCCATTTATTGACTCAAAGTACTTTTAACATCGAAATATTTTCAACAAAAATAATACAGATCGTGGTAGGGTACCTTTTAAACATGGGGGTGTCCGATCGGGTTACCTTTTAGAGTCACATAAAAAGGAGGAAAATTCAAAACAAACTAGAAAACAAAACAAGAATTTTGAAATCAGCAAAAGTAGTGAAGGCTACTGTGAGTTGCAAACTTTTATCGAGAACAACCATGCGTGATAATTATTTTCGGCACAGTTATTAGTTTAGTAGATTATGTTCAAACAACTACTCGCTCTCTCTACGAGTTTTAACAAACGTGAACTTCTTCTGGGGAAACGAGTATTCCATATGCTGATAAATCTGTAGGGTATTACATATTTTCTATTGTTGACATGAAACAATTTTTTTGTTGCTGGGTTTCCTCAGAAGAAATTGCACGAATGGTGATATACAATATCTACATATAGCCAAGCCTTGATAAATGTGTAAAATGTTACCATCCGACGCATCTAACCTGCATCTGAATGGTAAAAAGCTCACGACAATTCCATGCTAGAGACAGGTCATGCGCGTCGGAGGACCAATAGGCCGAGTTATGAACTAAAGATTCTGGTAAATGGAATACCGACCGTTCTCCCCCAATAAAATATTAAATAATTTCTTCAGTTAAAGAGGAATGGTTCGCATAAAAAACAGAAAAGCAATGCCATTAATCAATCGATTCGATTAACGTTATAAAGAGTAACAATTCTACTAGTATATTATGTACAAATTTCAGCAGGAGTGGAAATGGATAATATCCTGGTATACGAAAAGTACAGCAGAGCAACTTCGTGGACATGAAACTCTAGTCATTAAATAGCAGGAAGGGATTACAAATATAAAAAACTTTTGACTATCATACACCGTCAACATTTGAAGCACTAAAGAGATTTAGACAGGTTAAAAGAATTACAAAACTTGCTATGAAATATCTAGCAAAATGTCGGAGCCGCGATGCCTGAAGTTGGCATAATTCTTTTGTTTTATAACATATTTATTATTTAGGCATTTTATATTATTTAGAACGCTATTAAACTTCCAATATCAATTTCATAACAAGTATTGGAATAATAGAAAGACCACATCACGTGTCCATTCATTACTATCATGTTTACTGTCCGGTTCTGGAAAGTTCTTGAGCATACCGCCATTATAAGCCATTTCCACCCCTACTTTAAATGATTGGTGGGATCAATGAGTCAATTTTATCAAGACATGACTACACATTTTTCACTTCGCAGAAATTTCATTTCTGTAAAAAGTTCAGGTCCGAAAATGCACAAAAACAAGTATCTACTACACTTTTCTCAGAGGGAAATTGTGCTTTTTGACAGCTTCTGTGATAACTATGAACATGTAACATTGAACATACACTAAAATTTATTAAGGATAATAAATGTTACAACACGATATAATCATTTTACACTGTACATAGAGCATGGGAGAATACTTTTAATTTTGGGTACACATAATCCACCAAGTATTACAATGACGCTCTTTGGCTTTCTGTCAAAAAGATCAATTTCCCAAAGAAAAGGTTAGACTTATTCGACTTCTAAAAGAAAAAGTGGTGTATCTTCAAACTACATTTGGAAAAGGACAGAGATAAAAGACAAAGGATTCGTCACTACAGCACAACCTTTTCCGATGGTAAACAAAAGAATAAAAAAAATAAAAAAGAGAGAGAGGCAACGAGGGGTAGGGTTTGGAAATTCATTTAGAGAACATCTGCAATAGCCAAGCGATCAACTGCAACCTTTGATTCCTTTCCCACTCGAAATAACGTTTCGTGAGGGAAACATTCAATCTCATTCGTTTATTGTCATTAAGGTAGTAGCAACTCACTACTATAAAGTTGCGTTATTCATGGTGCAAGTCGCGTGAAGCTAGATTATATTCAGAGTATTACGAAATGCCAAATATTGCTGAATAGTCTGGTAGTGTACTGTATTTTGCAGAATAGATTGCACTGACAACGCTATATGAACGAGCTATACACAAGGCAAAACGGTTTCCCTAATGTTTGTTCACTGTTTAGTTTGATCAGCGATTTTATGACATGAGAGTATTCTGTAGACGTAACGTATTATTAACTTTCAAGAATGTCATCAAATTAATTTTTTTAACATGTTTGTTCCAGTAATATTTCAGTGACATTGTCTAACATTCGACGTATTCGATATTTCCCATCCAAGTTGAGGTGACATTCTGTTTCCGTCTCTAGATTGCTGGGATTAATCGACAATCACACTTCGCCTCTTAATAGCAGATACTTCGGAAAATGAAAATTCAAATTCCAAAATAGGAATTCCGTGCGTGATTATTCATACCCTGTGTTTGTGTAATATATTAATATTACACTCACGTAAAGAAGCAAAAATTGTCTCTCAAATAGGATAAAATTTGCATTAATCGTATGCGTTATATCTACATTTACATTAACTTTACAGGAAAATAATTATGCAAGAAAGGTTGCAGTTGACATGACCAGGTGTGCGTCAAAAGAACTGATTACTTCAGTTACTTCATCGGTTGAAATCACGACATATAGCGTTTTAATCAACGATGCAACTTTCTAGAGGTAAAAAGGACTTTTGGCGCACTCTGGATTACGTAACATGTTTCTGTATGTAATTTTAGGACGAACAGGACAGCACTTGTGAAGATAATACAACGTATATATATGCAATATATTGTATATAACACCATGTGTGCACGTACGGGGTACATTGAAGGAGGGAATGAGGGAAACACTATGCATTCCCTTCTCGTAAGTGCCTTTCATAAATATAACGTTAGTAGTAATAATGATAATAAATTTCAATACAAAAAGGTCACTCGTGCAAAGCGTTGATGAATACCCTGAATAAAGTCGAAAGGATTTCGAAGGGGCCCGTACTGTGGAAAGGATTTAGCGAGGACGAGGATAAATACCGTGCAAGGGAACTCCTCCATATGCATATTTTTCCTTCGAAAACTTGAGGACGGACAAGGTTAACGGGTGGCAAAATTATCGTATTAATTGCACAATTGTAACAAAAACAGAACAACTGATGGCAAGGAAACAAAATATCTTTAACTAAATATCCGCGTCTGTTTTGACATTTATGATCATTAAAAATTACAATGCAAAAGACAACATAATCAAAAGACTGTATTTTGAGAATAATAGAAACAACAAATTTGAACAGATGACTAAAGAAAAAATGTCGCAGCGCAGAAGACGGAACTTAGAGAAGTACGCACGAAAAGGAGCAAACGGAATTTGTCTGCACGTATTGGGTGTGTAGGAAAAGTTATTGTGGGAGCTGTAGGAAGAAACTACTCCTCTCCCCATACATGTTTGTTCTTGACAGTTCAAGAGCGTGAACAACGGGTAGCAGCGCAAAACTTGTGAGACAAAATCAGGTGCCAGAGTTTCTATCACGTGGGCACGAACATTGTGAGCGGAATAGGTACTTGTAGGAGTCTCAATCCCGTTTTTCTGCGAACAGTCATAGAATAAACGTGTACACGGTGGAGGAAGATAATAGAATATATAAACAAACAAAATGTAAACAATATGAAGAAGAATCATAATCAGAAAACGCTTTCGTAGCCTCTCAACGTATTCATCCATCTATCTATGCACCATGCATGTGGGTACTGGCAATAGCTTTTGCAGTGGAATTGCAGGTTGGGCGCGGCAAAGGCGAAGGCGGGGGCGGCAGGGCGCGGTCTGCAGTGAACTTGGGGCAGGGGCGGGGGCTGGGGCCGGAGCGTGGTTGGGCGGTGCCCTAGAAGGCCTGGAGAGACTAGGCGAGGCCAACAGGGTAGCGTTAGCGACCAGGGCGGCCAGGAGGGGAAGGAGCAATAACAGAGGGCCCAAAGGTCCCATTATATCGACGGTGGGGCGGGCGCCCGTGTTGCACATGTCCTCTTCGCAAAAGCACATGTGACCGGTGCCACTACTTTCCATCATACACACGTGATCCACCATGAAGAGGTTGATCTGCAACTGGGAGGTGCATGTGCGCCGCACGCTTTCGTAGCCTTTTCGGTGATGTGCGTTTGATGAGCGCCCGGGGTGTAGTGGAGTTGTCGATTTTTATATATTGAAACGACGTGATCGAAAGGAGAATGTAATTGTAAGGTGGGCGAGGCGACCAGTCGAAAACAGGGAGTGCGCCGGCGTGCGGGAAAGGGTGGAAAGGCGTAGGCGTTACATTGTGATATTCACGTTTGAAGTTATTATGGCGTTTTGATTGGTGATCGAGAACAAAGTTCCCGAAAACGTACAAGCGTGTCAAAATGTATCATATTTCATGATGACAAGAATATGTTGCATATAACGAATGCAACAACGATAATAGAACACATCCCGAAATTAGTTTCGTTACGATTTCATTAATTGTTTGATCGCAAAGTATAGTCTCAAAAATTATATCATTATCAGTTCGTTTTCGTAGAAAAAGTAATCAATAGTGACATATCGCAGCATTTTCGAGCGTCCATGACACCAGTTTCATGGAAGGAGATGATACATAGAAATGCAATGCATATCAGAGTATATAAATTATTATAAATTAATGAAAGAGTTCAAGATGGTTCGATGAGGTGCAGCGTCGTATGTTATGATGGCGATGAATCGGCAACAAAACAGCGTCGATGTGGAGGCGAACCAGTGCAGGGAAGACGAACCAGGGCGTCGTTGTTTATTTTTTGTTTTCATTTTCCGGGATGAGGAGTTGGTAAAAAAGAAAAACAAAACAAAAATATTTCAGTGGTTGTCCGGTGAAAAGTTTCCCTCGCTTGATGGATTACAAGAGAGAGAATCTTTTCCAAATAAATTTTCTTTAAGAAGTATAACATTGGTTGTCTAAGTTAAACAAACAATAGAACCAAACACATTGCTTATTGCAAATAAAAATACGTTCGGCAAAGCAATAAGAAGCATGTGAAGCATGAAAACAAAACTTGAAAATAAAAATTAACCATATTTTAAAATCAGAATGATGTAATGTCACATGTCACTGAACATAACGAAGGTGTATATACAGTGTTATAAAATTCGCAAGCAATTATTTATATGCTTAAAACAAATAATGAATATTTTAACGTGTAATGAAGTAACAATTTTGCAAGAAAATTCGGCAAACTCACTTATACGGGAGTGGTAATTGTTTGAAACAGTTTGAAAAGACTAGTTAATTGGTGTAAAGCAAGTTTCAGTACTTGTAATGTAGTTCGAGTGTTGATAGTATCTGAACTTCAGTATATTGAAAAATATTTAGACTCCTAATTTTGAAATAAATAGAGGACATTCGTTTCCATTTCTCCCATACATAGAGGACATTAATTTACGCATCAGTAGCATTCGATTATCTTTTCAAATGGTATACGAATTATTGTATTGTATTAACCGATTAACTATGAAATAACACTTTGAATGTATTTTAATTTTAAGATATATAAAGGTTTTATAATCTTTCTGTAATCTTAATGCAAATTTAAGTCCGTCTATGACTTCAAAATAGAAAATTGAAACCTTGAGAATTCAGACAGTTCCTGATAAACATAGGTAAACCAAAACAAAACTAAATCATATTCATCCTGGTATTGTACATGCACACAAACCTTTTTAACTACTGATACAGACAAACCACGTATAAAATAATTTTTATAATCAAACGTTCTAAAGAAAAGATAACGTGTTCCAATCAAAAGCCAAGCATAATAAGCGTGTGAAAAATCATATTCTTCATTTACGTGTGTCCAAAAATATTTGCAGTACGGCAATACACATTTTTTAGTGAAAAAAAGCATAGATAAAATAATTGAACGAGTTAGGAAATTGACAGCTGCTCAGGGATCTTGACAAAACTTGTTACTAAAGCAGGACAGGAAAACTAAGTAACGTTAGTAGACAACGATAAATAACGCTACAGGCAGAGGGTTTCGTCCAAAAATCTGATATTTTTGACAATATGATCCTGTCTTGTGGTAAAATTGCCTTACCACTCCATTTCTTCTTGTTTGCGTATCTTTCTATAAATAATCGTACTATTTTATTTTTAAATGTATATTTTATCATTTTATAGTCATAATGCATTACTTAATATACTCCATACCCGCTGGTTATCAAGTTTATTTTGAGATAATACAATAATAGTTAAAGTAACCAATTTCATTATGGCGGGTTGATGCGTTTCCACTTGTGATATAGATTTCAACTATAGTATAACACTTCAAATCACTTCAGTAAACAATTTTAGAAAATCAATGTTGTATTAAATATTGAAACTGAATACTTCAAATATCTACGACAAAATTTGTAATCAAAATTACAAGTTCGGGTGATATTCTTGGTGATGTATTAACAATGAATTTGTCCAATTTGTTAGTTTTCTTATTTATCTCCAAGATTATCAGCAACAGTATCTGTATCCAGGGTATTGCAATGTTATTTATTTGTGGACGAAGCCCAGTGACATACCAATTATAGTCGCCGGTAAATACCAATACTCGTTTCACTTAACGAGTGTATTTCTTCTCGGAGTCCTTTTGACGTCGATCACCTTTGGATGCAAGGAGTGGGTGAAAACAATAACTTTTGGGGAGAGAAAAAGCTGAACAAGAATTTCAGAAAGAAATTTAGCACCCAGACATGAACAGAAAATAATTGCATACAACACCGAATTAATAAATGAACACAACCGCTCTTCACGCGCAAAATTTTCAGGGAATTTCTGTATTTAAAGCAGAAATCCTATTTTAAAAAATATTATTTTTAAAATTTTAATTTACATTATATTTAATTTATAATAATAGATGTAACTGGTGGTAAACATGGGAGTTAGTCACCCGGGAGACGATGCGGTGCTCAACTACAAAATTCCGACAATTCAGCCCATATCGAGGGAGGGGCAACGGAAATTTTTATTTAGCCTGGGCATTATACAACAGTGTACGAACAATATTTACAATTTACACAATGAATCATGTAATGAATTTCATTGCCTTCACATATTCATGGGAGGTAGCATTATATTAAGATGAGCACAATAGCAAAAAGCTAGTCTCATGTTAACAGACATGAAACTGTAATAAGCTACTCTTTTAGGACAATACGTGAAGAAGACTACAAACGATAATCAAATCGTCATAATGATTATTTGTCAATTTGGTATCCATCTGTCGTAACTGTCTGTATAAAGTTGGTCGTTTATAAAATAATGTATTTGCCAAAGTAAATACGATTAAATAACAAAAAGTGAACGTTGACCTAACACCAGTCACTTTCGGATAATATATTTGTAAAACTTATTGCTGTAAAAATGAATAATCTACCTTAATCTGCCATTATTTACAGACGTTTAATTTCAATTTGGTTAAATGTTTCAATTTTATAACATAAAAAATTAGAAGTTCTTTTGATATTTTTGAGAATGACTTGTCAAGTTGTTTCAAAACAATTAGGGTTGAAAAATTCACCTCGATGTCTTCTTATCTTTTTAGGAGTTTTTAGTTATTTCTTTCGCGGGCGAATTTTAAAATCATTTGTTTTGATAATGCTTTGAAGAGAAGGGTGTTTTCAAGTTCCATGTAGAAATTATTCATATTAGAAATTAATTATTATTGTGTACATGTTATAAAGTAAATTACATAGGAGTCATTTATAAAATACGTAACGCATATTTGTAGTATTTTGGGTACCCCCTCGCCTCTGTAACGCACCGGTAATGTGAGCGTTAACCCCCTCAATATTATCGTAATTATTGCGTCAACCCCCTTTTTTTAAAAAGGAAAAATAAACTATATAACAAAAAATGTATTTTTTATTTGTGTTATATATTACAATACTTCAAGAAGTACAATATGTGTTATATAAATTAGAAACATTACTAAATTTATTTTCTTTTGTCACTGACTGAACAAAGAAGAACAGGGAGGGATGTAGAAAATTCATTGTAGCGCCGTCTCCAGTTTACCAAGTAAAACGCTTTGTCTTGAGCATTGACAATGACTCCAGAGGAGAACTCATGCAGTTTACTACGGATTTTTGAGAGGTCATATTGATCCCCTTTCTTGTCTTTTGCTAGCATACCAATATTCTAATAAAAATCTGTCTGGTGAAAAGATCGAAATATTTTATATTATTCTGCAAAAGTGTAAATGAAGTTTATTTAAATACGTGAAAATTGATGAACTATTTATTTAAATACAAAGATACCAATTTAAATGAAGATCCGGGCCGTAGTTATTTCTCACTAAAATAATGTCGGCAAAAGCTCGCCAATGCGTGGCGTTTACGATATGATACAAAACACGCAATGGATGTTAATTACCTGCCACCGTTTTTTAAATTACGATCCGTGTGCAATTGCAAGCGATTAAAAATGAATTTAAACTTATTCAATTCCGCCCGCCAAATAAAACCTATAATTTACTATCAAAATTAGTTGGCTGCGCCTAACAGTAAAGAGGAGATTTCTTCAGGGAAGGACGGATAGACAAGAAATCGTCTGCCAACAAGCCGGCAACTATTCATCGTTGATGACCCATGGCTGGGAGTACTATGTTAATTGAATTCTAGAATACACTTTAAATCAATTTTTAATAGTTTCTTCGAATTCTGATTCAATTAATATACCTTCGATGAATAAATATTTTATTTCTTAAAACAATTTATATATAACTATTTAATATTTATATTTTTAAATATTTTTTAAGTTTTGTTGTCATAATTAAAGACTGAATAAAAAGGAGTGTTCTATGTAAATGTTGAAAAATTTTAAAAATAAATATAAGAGTGACATACCACTAAGCTAATGCCTATTACCCCTATGTGACGCAGCATAACTTTGCCCCAAACCTCCGTACCCTCTTAGGCGTTACGTAATTTATGGACGATCCCATACCAAAAATGTCCTGCACCTATTAAACCGCATGAATTTTGTTGTGTAATATTTATTTTGAATATAATGAAGCAAATAAACATTGTTTTTATATTTAAAAAAATATTACATTAGCTATATTTTCTATTGATGTCTGTGCACACATTCTCTCTGAAAAAATTGTTCGCTGTATTTGGATGTCGTAGGTGCACTATCCTCGTTAAATATTGTTAGTCCCAAAAGTATGAAATGAAAACAACTCTGTTGACTATTGAGTGCTAGTGTGTTTCAAACTAAGTGGAGGATTTAACATTAAAACAGGATACATTTCGTTGTTTAAACAAAGTGTAAGATACCGTTAAGACCATAAAAATCCAGTAGTTTTTTAAATAATTTTATGAGTAATATCTCCCGCAGAAAATCGCGTAGATATATTTAGTCTAATAAATGAACTTAAAATTTTCCCATTAGTTGAAAAAAATCAAATTCAATACTACTGAGATCATCGATTTTATCGTAGAAACGTAAATAAACTGTATGTCTGTACTATTATGTTAAATGAATAAGAAAAAAGTACTTATCAATTTAAACGATCCATAAGAAATAATTTGTACTATAAGATCTTCGGTGATGCTCATTCAAAAGGTTTCCTTCTACTAGAGAATTAATCAATAACGTTAAGGGTACCAGATGAATATTATATTTCAGATGGTAAAAAGTTTGGACCGAATTTTCTAGCTGAGAACTAATCACACAGCTTGGTGTCCTGATCACACAACGTCCAAGAAAATTGCTCTTGAAGGAGCAAACTCTAGAAAGGCAATCTGTAACGCGTTTTAACTCGCTGTTTATTACGGTTTTAAAATTAATTATTGGAAGTATTTGATTTGAAATACAGATCGAACAATGTGTTTGATGCCATGCTGGAAACGTTGTTTTCTCTCAGAATAGTAGAGTAAAATAACAATAATATCCTTATAATTCATGACGTGCAAAAAAATTTTCCGTTTCCTTAATCACATTATTAAAAGCTAAGGAGCAGATATCAATTCGTGAAATATAATTCCAAGCTATTCATTATAACTATTTATACGCCAAGCTTTTCTTATGACATAATGTATTTTAGAAAAAAAGAAATTATATTATCACTTGGACCAAAAATACTTCGCCAGCCAATCACAAAGTAAAAATTTTATTTCGATATCAGTCTCGCCTCATACATTTTGAGCATTATATTTGTAATAGAAAGATGAATTACCGATGACTAAAAATGAATGGACATAAATGAAATGACAGAATGCCGTAAGAATTTTTTAAAAATCTTTACTTGAAAAACTCAAACGTTCAAAGTAATTTCTTCTAAAAGTCTTTCTAGATAAATTGTAGTACCCAGAATAATAATATGTGTTTTCAAGATATATTTTAATTTTTTTTTTTACTTTTGAAAAATGTATACATTGGTACTGACAAAAAAATAGTTACTTCGCCTTTCACGAGGAAGTAAAAGCTCGTCTTTGCATTTATGTGCACTTAAATTACTTCTCACAAGAATAAAACTCGATCCTAATGTACTTTAATTGTCTATAATTACTGATTCGTGAGTTGGTTTTAGTGTGTTTTTACTACTGTTTTAGTACATGTCGACACGTCTCTCTCTCTCTCTCTCTCTCTCTCTCTCTCACACACACACACACACACACACACACACACACTCACAGACGCATACTCGCCATATACACACATTCATATACTCAGACCTTTGCACATTGACGCACGGCCTTCGCAACACTTAACGAGGATAGAAAAAATGTTTCACGGAGACATCCATGGGTTGAGGCGCTGACGGGCTGTACTCACGGCTTCTGGCGTTGCGCACCATCTTGACGCAGCAGCCGTTACAGGTCATGAGGGGCGGCTGCTCTCGCGGCAGCGCCGTGTAGTTGAACGGGTCTCTGCAGCGCGGGTCGGTCCACGAGTCGCACTCGTAGCAGTAGATGGACCTCGCTGCGGCACAGAACAGCGCGTAGCGTGCAGCAGGCGCGGCGCAGGGGCGGGGAGCGTAATGGCGGGGCGGCGGGTTGCTGGCGGGGCCGGAGCCCAAAAGGCGGGTGGCCGGGGCGGGACCGAAGGTGGAAGTGTGTGTGTGTATGTGTGTGTGCGTGTGTATGTGTCTGTGTGTGCGGTATCTGGGCATAGGCAGACGCGGGGGTAGAGTTTCGGAGATTCGGAGGTGGGGTCAAGATTGGAAGCAGGGCCGAAACTGATCGGAATGGAGAAACGCGGGTAACTTCGGGGGCGGCCTCTATAAGACTCTATTTTGCTTTGAATTTTATTTAGTTCTTTTTATAGGTTCAGAAATGAATGAAATTTACTGACCTCTGGGGCCTCGACGGAGTCGAGGAGTAGTTCGCAGAAAAAACTAAACACGATGCAATTTTCTATAAATTAGTAAAGTTTGTGATAAATTATCGTTTAATTAGGAAGTAGGGAATGTATTTTAATATTTTTGAATAAATAAGAAATGAAAGATAGTTAATTAGACTGAATGTAAAAAGGATTGTCGTTATCAATATACGCTTTTAAGTTTTCCTTAATCGGTTTGCTCCCCTCAAAATACTTATCTGGATCGCCTCTTAATGAAAGAAGCTACGCCATGAGAAATATTTTTCATCCCGTCAGTCGTGGTGTTAGTTCATTGGTTGGCGAAAATTTAAAAAAAATGTATTCTATTTTTAGAAAACAGTATTAGCAGTGTTAATAAAATGAAATATTTCAAGGACAATGCAGAATTTCTTTGACTTATATTTCATCGATATATCCGTACTATCGATAGGACATATTATGGTTCCAATGCAGAGGCTGCAATTTTCAAAGAAACCAATAACGCAGAGCTGCTGAATCGATAGTTCACTGATTCTGTGTGGCGGGGCAAAGCGGATGTCGAAGGAATCTCATTGACGACCACCCCGAGCATACGAAGAAGCGGACACGAAAGGGGTAAATTGTTAGATGAGCTTCTGTGGTGTGTGTGCGTGTTTGTTCATGCCGTGGGTTGGCGGGCTGGCGCCGTGTCAATATCACGGCTGATGGAATTTCAGCCGCCGTAGGAGCAGTCTTCGTCGAAGCACGTGCAGTGGCGTAGCGAGAGGGGTGCAGGTGAATGCGTGTCTCCTCTGGGCAGCCTTTAAAGGGGCAGCGCCAGTCGGGACCGGAATGAAAGCATAGAAGGAAAAAGAGCATCGTGCTCCAGCGTGGCCTTCAACTTGTTCGTCCCCGCCTCTGCCTCTAGGTTTGCTTGTTTGTTCTGTTTTTTACGGGCTGCTGCGGGCCTCAAGGATGCCCCCAACGGCTCAAGCTCCTGCTACGCCACTGGGCACATGTGCGAGACCGGATGGCTGAAGGTCCAGAAACCGTGTTTCCGTCGCGCCATCACCCAATCAGTAACGGTCGGTATGCCGAGTAATGAAGGGTCGAGAGGAAGATGTTGCGGCCAGCAAGCGGCGGACGGCGAGGGAGGATAGCAAAAGGAGTAGTTAAGAGCATTTTCGCACTCTTGTTTCGAAAGAGACAACTCACTTGTAAGCTTTTCAAATTATCTCGCTTAAAGTACTTTCTAACAAACAATACTCATAGATACACATATACGAAGAGAGAAAAAGTTATTTCTAAAAGTAAGATTGCTTCGTGGTGAAGTCCTTTTGAAAGAAGAGTGCGGTCTATGCAGATGAAAAAACGAAAACAAAAAGTGCTTGACTTCTATATGTAACTAAATCACTCAAATCAATGGTCGCAGGAATTCGTGCCCCCCTCTTCTCTATATAACGAGACAACTGTGACGACTGATATGCTACAATCGTAATATAATTTGATGATCATAACGATTATGTATTAATATATCGTGCAATCATTGGCCCCTCAACATCAAGCACTTTTCTTTTATTGATAGGGTAACAGTCAGTCGCGAAGGTATAGGACGGCGTACAAAAATCGGAGATGGGCCAAAGGTAACCAACGAACAAAAAAGAAAAATAATGGAATACAGCAAATGAAGTTGGAAAATAATTCCGTACACAAGGGGAAGATCATACAAGAGGCGAAGCACCATAGGATTGGATGGCATAAGAAAGCACAGAATGGATAAATAGATCAGGCGGAATAAACGGCCTAAAGCTTGAAGGAAACATTGAAAGGAATAGGGTTTGTATAAAACAAAATGTAGTGTTTAGTATCAATGGCGCGATCCTAAATTGGAAAGAGCGCGTGTCAAGCAAAATAAAGTAACAACGGAGCAAACAGAGGTGATTCAAAGGCTAAAAGGGTTGCAGAAGGTAGTCCAAATGCAGGAGGTAAAGGTACATGCCAACGGTAATTACAAAAGACATAAACGGATTCATCGTTTTAATTCCAGTCAACATTGTAGGTCTTTGAGAAAAAGCGAAAAGTAGCACAAAGAAAAAGCCTTATAGATTGAATTCATTTCTTCACACTGAGAGTGAACACCTCACGCGATACGTGTGACTTGTCGGCCGACGTGGACTCGCTATAGATTGGTCGGGGCGCTATAGATTGGTCGACTGACTGAAAAATAGTAATTGGCCTCTAACACATTTCAAGTTGTTAGCTTACTGGTCTCTTAGACCTAAGAGCGAGGACTTGATTGTGGCTGATGTGCGTAGTTTTTTGAAGGGCGGGAAATCCACAGTGACCATGACGTCCGTAGGACATACTATAAAAGAACCCTGCTCAAATGGCCGGAAAATTTCAATCCTCCGATTCAATTCCCGTCCTAATTCGATCGCTCGATCGATTCGCTTAGCCGCGGAACGCAACAAGCAATACGAGAATTACTGAGACCTAGAGTCACTATGTACAGATCCCTATATATCTAGGGACTCTACTGAGGCCGTTGCGGCGTTCCCTGGCGGTTACGATGGGAGTCCAAATTTCCTGGTGATGCTGGGAGCCTACTATAAGCCAATTAGAAAATTGCAAGCAATTTCGCCCGCGTTGGGAGTAGGCTAATGGTTTAAACCACAAGATACCGAGCATTTCAAACAAAACAAAATATTTGCAGCAAATATTTGGTACTAGGAGCAAGATAAACTATCTTGATCTTTCGTGGACAATAAATTGCATTTTGAAGTGTTTTCTAATCTTAGATGATAGATATGCCGCGTGCTTGGCACGCAATAAAATTTAAAGTTTTATTCCTTTTGTAATTACTTTGTAGAGTACGGAATACTTGGGAAGGAGGGAGGAATGTAACGAGGGATTGTGAGGATCAGCAGAAACCTGTCCTAGCAATAGTTAAAAGAAATAGGTGGTGTGTAGCAAGTATGCCATGTCGCGTGAAGAACGTTAAAATATATTTCAGACAACATGCAGACCAGCATACAAGCGCAATTCGTGTCAGCCAAATGTTCAAGTGACGGGCAATTGCGGAACGAAAATAGAAGCGGTTTCGAAATTACCAGAACTCTGAAAATACTTGAAAAGACAAGCACAGCATGTTCTAACTACTCCACGTTTCACATTTTCACATCTAAGAAGCAGCTTAGGTCATTGTCCTGAATGAGTTGGTCGAACGTTTTTTTTATTTTTCTACGTGAGTAAATTCTATAGTTCGTAATAACGTTTGTAGATCAACAAGCATGTATGCAATTTCATAATAAACGTGGAAGCATTTGCAAATATTCCAGTGGAGGAAAGTTCGCGAATTATAATAGACGGGAAACTCTACAAAAGCAGCACCGAATCGTCTATCCAGTGAGTTCGGCAGCATTGCACCCCCAATAAAAACGTATTACATGTGTATCCGCAATTGTACGTACGAAATGCAAAATGGATGGGGACAAAGACAACTTTTGTTGGAGGAAATACTTTGCGTTAGGGCCCATTTACAAATGGTACATGCATCCGTATAGAATCAAATAGGCCGAGTGAAAATGCAGACTACGTTTGAAACTTTAATATTAAGGATTCTTACACGATAAATAATAGTATTTTCTTCCTTTTCCGCATTGTACATGCTAAGTTCATTCACATTCAGCTTTGGCGTCTTTATACTGAACTTAACGGTAGCGTCATGTCATGAAAGTCTAGCCAACGTGTATGCCTTCGTTTCAAGCGAATTTCGTGTCGCGGTCGGCCACGTTTGCGTATTGTCACGGCAGTGACTGAATGACTCATCGGAAATTTACTGCTGCTAAGGGGCGAATACAACGTCGTTTTCACTTCTGTGAACCACAATCAACCATCCGTCCGCTAAATATTATTTTTGCAATACTTGGGAGAAATTGCATCAAGGAAGGGAACTAAATAAATTGTCCTAGGTTAAGGTTATTCTCTCCTAAATATCGCTGATGGAAATAATTTCGACGAGATCTCTGTTACATTCCAGCATTTATTTCGCGAAAAATGGAAATAATATTGCGAATGAATTACTCAGTTTCTTCACAAACTTGCAAAGTCAAACGTCTGTGCCTCAGAAAAGTCCGTGGGAAAATATGCTTAAGAATAATTTAGGCTCGAAAACTCAAAAATCTTTAAACATTTTATTAGGACTGTTAAAACTAAAACCGACCTCCGGTTTGCAAATGGAATTATCCCTCGCGTTGTGGCGCGTGTTAAAAACAAGAATGTTCTTGCAGTAAATATATAAGGCGTCATAAATAAAGCAATGAATCTACCCTCATAACGAGCTATTGTGCACGAGGTATTGTGATTTAATATGGATAATTATCGCACGTAAAATGTTGAGAATTAGCGTAATTATAAGTGTTTTGCGAAAGAAAAATGGAAGACGAAATCATGCCATTTCGGATAGGATAGGATAGGATAAATACTGAAAATAAAGAAGTACATTTTACAATAGGAAAGGAGTACATTTTATTCAAGGGAGTAAATTTTACCAAAGAAAATTATGGTTAAACATAAAGTGGAATTTCAGAATTTGAAGAAAAATGTGTACACAGATTTTTATAAAATAAAAATACAATGGAAAATTGATTGATTTAGATTGGGACAAGCAAAGTATCTGACTGGTATGCACAGTGCGACAAATGTATGACATTAGGAATACATAAATAAGACAGTTACAAGTAGTAGCATGCATCAGACATCATACAACATAATTTAGGTAGGCAAATGCAGTGGGGTGTTTCAACGACAGTTGCTTGAGGTCTGCTTGCAGGA